TTTTGTTTTTTAAAAAAGATTGAGAGAGAGAGAGAGCACAAGCAGGGGGAGTGGCAGAGGGAGAGGGAGAAGCAGGCTTCCTGCTGAGCAGGGACACTGACTGACCTGTGGCTCCAGGGCCCAGACCGGGGGGGGCTTGACTCAGCGCTGTACCAGTGATCTGAGCTGAAGGCAGACGCCTAACTGACTGAGCCACCCAGGCGCCCCTAACCTTGTTTACATTTTAAAAAGAGCTCTCTGGCTACAGTGTGGAGAGGAGACTGGGGACGAAGGAATGGAAGCCAGGGCTTTCTTTGTAAGGATTAAGTGACCTGATGAACATTTAGCATTTGGTGCAATATTTGACATATAATAATAGCCTAGTTCATGTTAGCAACTGTTACTAATAATTATTGTCAATATTAATAACAATAATGCTTCAGTTTGGCATCATCATCTGATGGTATAAATTCAACATGTATACTTGAAATTAAATGTCCACATTGATTTCATTCACTACAATGTCATAAAAAAAAATTAGGTCAGCAGTTGGGAGGTGAGTTTATTGGCCTCTCTGAGACTCAATCGTAAAGCCAATTTTGATTCTTCAACTGTTTACCTTATTATTGTCCATATAGTTAGCTGCGTGTGTTGAGCGCAAACTTTTTAATGAACAAATTTATGAAATGTTTTTCATTAGTTACATTACCCACCTATAAAAGAAGGCAGTTTAAAAAAAAAAAAAAAACCTTGTTTTCCGGAAACAAAATACCTTGTTTTCCGGAAACCATAACATTTACTCCTGTGAGATTTACTTCTGACCCTGACGATGATATGGGTAGAGAGCGGTATGTATGTTTGGGAAACTAGCATTTATGTACTAAAACTCAAGCTTTGCGGAAGGGTCTCTATTGGCCACAAGTAACCAGAATGTACGTGTTCCATTTTCTTTGCCCTCTGTCAGTCTTTTAGCACCTATAGGCAGCAGGCGAGAGCCACAAAATGCTGAGTAACTTTGTGCCCTCTCCTGGACCCTCTCTGAGCCTCAGTTTACTCATCTGTCAAATGGCTGTAAATAACCATGACCTCCTTTTAAGGCTGTGAAGATTGAAGGAAAGAAGTCATTCAAGTGTTTCCATGGTGTCTGACACATAAAAGAGCTCAACCATTGTTCACTGTTGCGCTTATTATTATTATTATTTGAAGACCAAAGTCCCTGCTCTCCTTTATTGGACGCATTTAATTCCAGATAAAAAGGATGAGTTCTGGATTCCACAGATGATTGCTTGGGATATCAGAAAATGTTAGTGATGACCTCTGACATTTTATCTCTGACCCTAATTTGACCCTGGAGCCAGGATGAGACCTGGAAAAGAAAGAAGCCCGCAGCTCTGGCTCGGGCAGCCCTCCCAGACCTCCCGCCCGCGCAGCTCTGTGAGAGGCAGCCCTCCGAACCCTGGCAGTTTGATAAGCCAGGGGGTCTGGGGTTTCAATTCCCTCTGTCCTCTGCTTTTCTAACTGGCAGTAATTATCTTTGTAATGCTCTCATGCTAAATAATGATACTGCTAATGCGCGCTGCATTTTCGCGCACAGGTGCCTCGTGTTACCTGGCGGGGCACACTCAGGGCTCTCACACTCAGGGCCCTCGCCAGGCCCAGCCCCTGCCCACCCTGACAACACAAAGGCAGCCCAGCCTCCTCCAGATCCACCCTGCCCTTCCCCCGCCGCCAGGAGGCCCTTCTCCCTCCCTCCGGGCGCTCCTCTGTCCCCTGCTCCGCCTCCCTGGCCCCTTCCCTTCACTGCCCTCCCTCCCACCGCTGGTTTCTTCCTGCAGAAGAAATCCAGGAAACCACCACTCACATTTCCTCTGCCCACAGTTTCTCCAGGGCCTGACTCACACACAATTCAGCTTGATTTGGAGTTCCCTTGTCTCTGCCCCATGAGAAACCCCAGCTCTCCCATTCATTTCTGGGAGTGCGGGCTTGCCAGAGAAGGTGGCTTGTTTCTGCGTCTCATAATCGACCTTTCATCATTAAATAAGGGGGGGGGGGCATACTGAAAACAAATTACCAAAAAACAAATATGAGGCTGTTGGCTTTGGCTTTACACGCGCGCGTGCGCGCGCACACACACACACACACACACAGACCCTTACACGTTCGTCAGTAGGCAGCCTTCAGCAGACAACATCTGCAGGATGAGCCGGTTTTCGGTGACTTTAATCTGGTAATTCATTGTTTCTGTGGTGCGGTTACAGTAGCTAAAAGGGCGGAACAGCAGGCCAATTTGGCACACAAACATATTTAAATGTGAACCGAGGGGTTTGCCCACCTTATGATGAGCGGTTGACTCGCTGCCAAAAAACAAAACAAAAACAAAACAATAGGTGGGGTTGCTGAGGGTGGGGGTGGGGGGGACAAGAGTTGCAGTTTCTAAACAGGGCGGAGGCTCCTTTAATCTCGACAGCACGAATAATACCAGGGGGTCACCGCACATCTGCTCGGGAGGAAAGACAAAGGGCAAGGTGGGGCTGCAGTGGCCTGCGGGCCGAGCTGGGCGCAGGGCGCGGCGCGGGGGCCGAGGCTTTGCGCGCTCGCCGCAGCCCCCGCCGCGGCGTTTAACGTTGACTTCTCCCTCCTCGCGTCTGGCACGGGAGGAAAGCCAGTCCAGATGGGCGTCCTGAGTGTGACGACTCCCCTCCCGCCCCCGCGCTCTTGCGCAGATGTCGCACGCTGCTCTGGGGGGCCCCCAGCCACGCCGCCCGCGAAGGCGCACCCCGAGCCGTCCACGCGCGCCCCTGGTGTCCCCTGCCTCGGCCCCGCTCGGACCGCGGAGCCCGGCACTGGGTGCTCCCGCGGGGGGGGGGGGGGGGGAGACGGGAACAATGGTGAGCCTGTGCTCGGCCGGCCAGGGGAAGGGGGGGGTGGGTCCCGGTCCCCGCAGCTGGCGCGTCCCGCAGCGCGGAGCTCCGAGCTGTCCCCGGGGTCCCAGACCAGGCCGCCCCGGGGGGTGGGGTGAGGGGAGCGCTGGGACCCGGCCGGGCAGGGGGAGCAACGCAGGCCCCGGCGACCCGCGCTCGCGGACCACAGTGTCGCCCGCCGCCGGGCAAGTCCAGGGAGACGGATCACGCCGTGACAGGCCAGAGGCGGCTCGAGGGATCTATAATTTATGATGTTGTTCTTACCAGTCCGGTTTGGGATTTCACAAGCGTTGCCCGTTTCCCTCCCATTTGTTGCTCCCGCCCGTCCTTTTGGTGAAAACCTCGTCTTCCCCAACCCCAGACGGTAGCACTTGCCCTATTGAATTAATGTGATAAGAAAAAAAGGGTGGGTTTCTACTTGAGGGCTTGCTGGGGCGGGCAGGGGTGGGGGGTGGGGCGGCTGAAAGGAACACAGGTAAGGGGGCGGGGCTGAGACGTTGCTTAGCACGCGGTGTACCTTCCACTAACTTTGCCTTGACTCTTAGGAAAAAATAACCTTATTTCCAGACAGTTGGGGTGGGGGCTTTGTGGTGAGAGGTAGTGAGAACAGATCTTCCCCTGCGACTAAGAGCAATCGTTTCCCTCATTTATAAATAAACTTCTTCCTCCTAAGTGGTATTTTTTAGCACAGCAGGCCTGCAAAAATTATGATTTGGGTGGCCGGAAGGGAAGGGGTTAACGCTCTTCCTTTGCTGGCCTGAGGCCGCTGATCCCTGCCTGGGTGCTCCTAACTTAGGACACGTCGTCAAGGGACCCTTGGCAAAGATGCTCTTGTCCCCATATTCCTTACATTGCTATACCGCTTGGGGAAGGATGTATGGATTTGATTAAGTTTTAGTGCAATGCATGAATCCATGATAGACACAACCAAGGACCCCAGACTAAGTTGGAGGAAGTTTTCTTTCTTGTTACCTTCTCCTTTTCTGTTTCTGTTTTTTGTTTTTTCTTGGAAACAAATTTATTCCAGGCCCCTTCTTTTTCTCTTCTGCACTCAGAATTGCTAAATGGAATTCAGAGCAGAGAGCAACTGTTGCAATTGCTTGCTGAGACTGGAGCGGGTAAAGACTTGAATAAGCGAAGGTTGGAGCTGGTCAGATCCGTTCTGATTGCTGCAAATGCCCAGGGGCTCCAAGCTGAGGGCGGCTCCCATTCCACTTGGGCTGACGAGGGAGCAGGCCTGGGAAGATCTACAAGCTCCCAGAGCCAGCAGCCCCTGCAGATGGCTGGGTCATTTTGTGGTTTACAAATGATCAAGTCAGGTTGAAGCCACGGTCTCTGTGGTTACAGGCAACCGTGATTAGTCACACAGTTAGTGACCCAGTTAGGGCACACCCTCTTTTAAAAGGACATTATTCAACATCTTGCTAGCTTGATTTCAGAAACGTTCCATGGATACAGGGAAGATGAATACTGCAAGGAATGGGGCATTGAAAACCTAGGCTATGTGTTCACATCTGCCAGGAGTTGGGTTTTTCAAAAAGGAGCAAATCTGGGGTGGGACTTTTGAGGCTAGGATTTCACTGAACTTTGAGAAGAGATTGCTTTTCAAGTTCAGGTATGGCCTTTTTTCTGAAAGGAGTCCGGGAAAGATAGAAAAGAGAGTTACCTCGTGAGCTTTGACTTGGCTTGTATACTCACAGCCATATGTAAAATGAAAGTGGGGAGGCAGGAAGAAGAACCCTACATATGAAATCTTGTGTGGCTTTTTATTTTTTAAAAATAGCATTTCTTTTTACCACAATGGCATAGGAACTTGTAAACATGAGTCCCCAGCAAGAGTAAACAAATTCGCTTCTTTTATCTGAAAAACAAGTAGAGTAAGTCTCTCTCTCTCTCTTTTTTATAAAGAGAAAATGCAAAACAAAAATGTCCCCTCCTCTTAAAGGCTTCTTTGCTGGTGAGTGTTTGTCCAGGAACAAATAGTCTTTTATTCGAATGGTCTCCAAAAGTTCATAAGCAAAAAAAAGTGTCCAACGTCGGGTTCCCGACAATACGGTCTCTAGCTGCATAGTGAAGCTTTTCTGTCCTGAATTTGTGATCTGCTATCAGAGCCCTTTAATTTCTGCGAACAGAAGCCTCTTTGGGAGAAGAAAGCTTGGGGGTGGGGAGTGACATTGGAATCAGTCTTTTTTTCCCCCCTTTGGCTGTTTTCTTCCAGTCAGCAAGTAGTGCTTGAATTCTTCTGATCTTTCCCAGCATCTTATTGAGGTGAGGAGCAGGGAAGGGTTAAGCTAGGCCACAGGCAGCTTTCCCTGCTGGCCTATTTTACTGGGTGGGGTGGGGGGGTGGGGGTTGGAGCTGCTGGCCAGGCAACACCTAGGAACTGTTCATAAAAAGGAGACGCCCTACTCCTGATGCCCTTTATCTCCTTTGGAGATTTTCCTTTTACAGCGTGTTTTATACAATCTTCAGTGATGACCGTCTTTTTAAAGTCATAGGTTCCCTGAAACCATTGGGGGTTGATGCGTATTCCCAACATTCCCAGTGTAGTATCTGGCAGGATGAAAGGAAAGAGGCAAACCATTAGGGAGAAAACAGACGATCGTTTTGGGGGATGTGCAGAAATAATGATTTGTAACTACATTTTAATTGCTTATAATAAAATCATTTTAAATATTTGGTCACCTCCACTTTTTTTCCCCAAGATTTAGTTATTTGAGAGAGAGAGAGAGAGAGCGCGGTGGGGAGGGGCAGAGGGAGACAGAGTCTCAAGCAGGCTCCCAGCTGAGCGTGGAGCCCGACATGGGGCTCGATCCCATGACCCTAAGATCACGACCTGAGCCAAAACCAAGAGTCAGATGCTGACTGCACCATCTAGGCACCCCTCAAATGGATTCCATTTGACACACATTTACTGAGAAGCCTCAGTAAAAGCCAGGTCCTTTCCTAGGTGAGGAGGACACAGGAGGAAGCAAGACACTCCAAAGCCATGCTTTCATGGAGCTTATATTCGAGTGGGGCGTGGTGGGTAGAGCTCATAGCTTTAAAATAACTTTTGGATAAGGATAAGTGCTTTAAAAATAATAAAACAGGACAGAGAGAGCGCCTCTCTGAGGAGTTGACATGTGAGTTGAGATCTAGGAACAAAAGGAAGACAGCCGAGAGAGACTCACGAAGGCCTGAGGCTGGGATGGGTTGCTTCAGCCAAAGAAATAGGGTGGAGAGGAGGCCTGGGGTTCCTTCACCTGCACATTCTTCCATGCTTGTCAGAGTTGGCAATTTGCACAACTCCAGGAGGTGCTGTCCTCACTTCCAGCCTGCCTGCAGCGAGCGTCTGCCCTGACTCACTTCCACATGCAAAGCGGCAAAGCAGCTGAGAGGTCCGATGCTGTCCCCTTTATCTGCAAGGCTTCTTTGCCTAGACTTAAAAGCCAGCCATATTGACCGAATGCAAGCGGGGACACAGCTATTGTGGAGCATAAACTCGTGTCCAAGGTAGGGGAGGGGAAGGTGTAGCCGCGTGCGTCCTGTTGAGTTGGCCAACTGGTGAGGACAGGCTTGGGTGACGTAGCTTTGAGGTGAGAGATCCCATGACGTGTCTAGCGAGACCGACATTTCCCCTCAGGGGAGGTTTGTGCCCACCAGAAGCAGTCCCCTGAGGCCTGGAGTGGCCCTCCTTTCTCCCACGGGCCCAATATCCAGCCCCCTAGATCTGCTTCAAGTTTGAGGAGGCCTTGTTAGGTCCCTCTGATCTGTCCCAGCATCCAGGGCAAGCACTGGCAGATTGGGTCCTTTGGTTCCCTACCCCGTCTTTGCTGGTGTTCCCCACCCCCCCCCAGCACTACCCCCGGTGGTGTCTGGATGTTGATTGGTCTGCCCTACATGCCACTCCTCTCAGGGCCTCTACCTTCTTCTGGGCTGGCAGGGACTTTTGCCACAAGGCCTCTAGGAAGTGGGTGAGCTGGTCTCCATCTCGGCGCTGCCTGCTCTCGCTGGCTCCTGGGCTCTTGGAAAGCACCCAGAATGGCGACCCTGGGGCTGGGATTCCAGTCAGGCCGGGGAGAAGGCTCTGGAGGAGCCTCCCTTGCTCTTGCCCAGGCAGAAGCAGCAGCTGAAGAGAAGCAGGCCCTTGAATCTCACGGCCCCGGGCTCCTTCCCTCACCAATTTGTCTCCCTGTCCTTGACTCACTGAGTCAGAGGAGTATTTAGGCTTTGATCTTTTTCAACCTCCAGCTATTCTTATCCAGAACAGAGACTGGTTTTGTCTTGTCAAGCTACCTAGAGCCACAGAAAACCGATATATCCCCCATTCAATTTTCCTCTTCATCTTCCAAGATTCAGCTATGGGTTCCAAGACAATGGGTTTGAATCTTAGCTCTGCCTCTTACTGGCCATATGGCCTTGATAAGTTGTACCATTTCACAGAGCCTCAGAGAGCTCATTTGTAAAATAAGCCCCCATCTCATGGAGTTGCCACAAGAATTAAATGGGATCACTGATGAAGAGTTCCTTGAAACATGCCTAACCGACGATAAGGTCTCAGATAATACAATCAGCATTGAATATTGCAAACTGACTCCCTACTGTCTCCTCCCTTGTAACCTTACACTATGTTCTGGATGGCCACACATCTTGGCTTTCTCCGTCTCCTTGAGATTCTTCTCCCTGTCTCCCCAGATCTTCTTGATTGAACGGGGGAGCTCTTGTTGGCCCTGTATTTGGCTCATGTTGTAGAATCTCCCTCGTCCATCCTGCAAACATCGCCTCCACATAGGTCACCTCCAAATTGTCATCCCTTTCTGCAGCTGACGTCTTATGACTTTCACTTCCTCTTAGATTCCATCACAAACCCAATCTGTCTGAAAACCAAATTACCATCTTCCTTCGAAATCAGAGACCCTCTCCTAGATTGCAAATGTATGACTCCATTCTCTGAGCCATGCTGGGTCCATCCTCTCCTGAATACCCTTCCTCTCAGCTTCTGCCTCCACCTTCTGACACTTTGGGTCCAAAGCATCTTCATTCACAACATGTCCCTCTTGTAATTATTTCCTTTCCAAGACCATCATACATACACATCTAGTTGCTGAGCACTTTGCACTATGGTGGTCTAGTCGCTGCTCGACTTGCCCCCCAAGCTCCAAGTTCTCCCCTGTGATGTGTCCTGCAGTGGGCTGCTTGGGCCCCATGGGCAGCCTGTGGGAGAGAGAGAAGGGCCTGGTGTCTTAGCTTGGCCTCAGTGTCCCAGAACTTGGTTTCCCCATCTTAATGAGATGCTCCTGCCCGTATGTAGTGGAGATTTCTTGGCTTACGTTTGATGTTAGGAGGAAGGACTTCAGGAAAGGCCTCTGAGATTGATTTGCATGAAGACCCAAGAGAGTCCTGGGTAAGGACTCACCATGAGGGCGTGGAGAGTCAAAGTGTGGTCAGATTAACTGGAGTATAAGCTATGGGCCTCATGTAGAAAGGGAGGGGAAATGTCAGGTGTTCTAATAGCGGTAACAGTAAATATTACTACTAATGTTGTTCTCTGGCCCCATTTCCCAACTTCTGTTTCAGGGACTTGTACCAGATCCTAAAAAAGTGCAAGCTGTGACAAAATGAGTAGAAGAGCCGGTTCATGAAAATGTCTACGTGTTGTCCTGAGCGTGAGCACCGCTTTGAGGCATTCATACATTCATTCCTCCACTGCTTCCCAAGCATGTACTGTGGGCTCCACACTGGGAATATGCCTGCCTGGAGTTCATGGTCAAGCAGGGGAGGCAAATAATACAAACAGGCAATGACCTTGAATGTCAGTATGTGCTACAGGTAGTCAGATACAGAAGGTCACAGGACCATATCTTAGGGATGCTTCACCTTAAGCTTACAGAATCAGAGGAGGCCTTGTGGAGGCCACGGAATCTAAGCTAAGACACAGGAGGAGAGTAGGAGTCAGTGGGGAGAGGAAGAGTTCCACGTGGAGGGGAGGAGGGTACACAAAAGTCCTTTGGGCAGAGAAGCACGACATTTTTGAGGAATGGAAAGGGTTTTGGCTTGGACAGAGCATGGCCAGGATGCCGAGGGACAAGACTGGAGAGGGTACAATGCACAAGGCATTGCAGACGGTGTACATGAGTTTTTATTTTATCCTAAAAGGCTAAGGGAAGCCAAAAGCCATGGGAGGGGTTTTGATGCTGGTGTGTGTGTGTGTGTGTGTGTAAGGATCAGGCTTAGCATTGGAATGGAGTTGGAGAGGAGCCAGATTCTGAGGGATCCAGGGGCAGGGCAGAGGAGGGTCAGAGAAATGGGCAGATTTGAGCAGTATCTGGGAGGATTTGTAATAGGTTGGATACAGGAGGCACCAGAGAGGGGAAGGTCAGGGATAGCCCCCAGATTTCTGACTTGAACTGCTGGGAAGGCATTAGTGACCCTGCTGAGTTTGAGAATACTTGGGGAAGTGTGGAAGGGAAGTGGATGGGTTTGCTTTTGTGCATTATAGGTGGGAGGTTCCTGAGAGACTTGCAAGTAGATGTGAGTTTGCCGACACTGCTCATCACTGGGAAAGCCAGAAGAGACTTGAGAAAATCATTCCGATAAGGTGTGTGTTTATTTCTGCTGTAACTTGAGATCTTTTGGTTGTAAGGAAAGAAATTCCCTCAAGCTAACTTAAAATGTGGAATTGTTAGGGTACAGAGAGCTTCATGGGATGTGTTGGTCACAGGGAAGTTCTGAGGATGGGAATAGCTCTTCTGGCCTACACATGGCAACATGGCCACTTGCCACTTGAACCTTCCCTGATGTTGCATTCCCCTCTGTGTAGACCAGTCTTCTCTGCTAAGCCGTGGGGCCTCCAGCCTCCATATCTGCCCTCTCTGGAGTGGACTCCTGCTCTCACCTGCCAAAAGTCTTCACAGCTGCATTGAAAAGCTTACTAGGGACTTCACCACAATATCTACATCTCTTTATTCAAATTCTTGAGAAGAGAGTATCTGATTGGCACTTAGAAGTTAATGGTATAGCGACTGAGTCAGGTGCTCATCCTTGGTCCAAGCAGTGACAGCAATGTGTGTGTCTGTATACGTGTGCGTGTGTGGATGTGTATGGGTGTGGATGTGTGTACATGTGTGCACATATGTGTGCACGCTTATGTGTATGCGTTTGTGTGGGTGCACGCACGTGTGTATGTGTATGTTGTGCATGTGTGTGTATGTATATGGGAGGGTGATTCTGGGTAAGGAGAATGGTCAGGATGGCTGTACTGTTGAATACAGAACTTCTGATGAGACACAATGTTGATACATCATTTATCTACCTGTCTAACCGATTAAATGTGCTTCTGTGTGTTCTGTGTAGCAGGAAGAAAGGGCGTGGACACACAAAACTGTCTGAATGTCTCCTTTACCAGGAAGATATTGGGCAGTTTGCAGGTAACTGTCCTCTCAGAGCTTTGGTCCCCAACTCTGTAAAGTCAGTGGCTACTTCTCCAGGAGAGCAAACTGCATGAGGTACCACTGTGAAATGCTCACTCTCAGTCGACTGTTCCTTTTTTTAAAGATTTTATTTATTTGTTTGAGAGAGAGAGAGGGAGGGCACCGAGGGAGTATGAGAGGCAGACTCCCTGCTGAGCAGGGAGCCCGACGGGGGGCTTGATCCCAGGACCCCGAGATCATGACCTGAGCCAAAGGCAGACGCCTAACCAACTGAGCCACCCAGGGGCCCCCGGTTGACTGTTTCTTTCCTCCTTTTACTTCTCTGTAATTCTTGTGCAAGTCACTGTTTGCCCAGAAAACAGGAATTGTACTTAACGTCACTTTTTAAAAACATTTTTTAAAAGATTTTTATTTATTTATTTGAGAGAGAGAGCAGGAGTGGGGGGCGGGGAGAGGGAGAAGCAGACGCCCCAATGAGCAGGGAGCCCAACATGGGGCTCGATCCCAGGACCAGAGGATCATGACCCGAGCCGAAGGCAGACGCTCAACTGACTGAACCACCCAGGCACCCCCATGTCACTTTTGTTAATAGTGATTACTGTGCATGAGTATTTTTTTTTTAAGATTTTTTTATTTATTCATTTGAGACACAGAGAGAGAGAGAGAGAGAGAGCATGAGCAGGGTGAGAGGGAGAAGCAGGCTCCCCGCTGAGCCAGGAGCCCGATGTGGGGCTCGATCCCGGGACCCTGGGATCATGACCCGAGCCGAAGGCAGATGCTTAACCATCTGAGCCACCCAGGTGCCCCGGTACATGAGTATTAACAAATGTTTTTAGAATGATCATATATCTTCATTCCATTAAATAGTAGTTGTAGCCACTCTATAATGTTTTAGGAAAACTGAGATGAGGAAAAATCATTTGCTCATAATCATGCCATCTAAATAACAACACATAAACTATGATTTATTTCTTATCAGCTTTTTCCTCAGCTTTTTGTGTTTACATAAATAGGATCATAATTTACACACAATAAAATGCAGTGTTTTGAGATGTTTAAACATAAATTATTTGCAGAAGGAAAACGATATACTTTAAAAGCATTTAATGTTCATAAATCTAGAATATCAATTGGCATCTTCCCTTAATTTCCTCTGTTTTGTCCTGAACATCTTGCAGATGGGGCAGTGTTCACTTAGAACCTTATTTAATTCTACCAAATTACAAATATATTCCGGGCAAGAGTTATTGTCCATTCAAATGTACTTTGGTATGTTAGATTTAATGCAGGGCTAATGAGGCCAAGCCACAGGTTTCATTCTCACATGAGCCAATTAGCCTTACTAACTACTGTAGCCACAGACTTCACCCCAATCTTGGTTTCCCACCTTGCAGATGAATGACAGGGGTCACCAGGGAGACCAGGGAGAACATGAAGAGTTCAATGCAAATCCATTACCATTACTAGACAGCCAACTCAAAGGCTCCATCTTTGAACCATTAGGTGAAATTGCATGGGGGAGGGATGCTTAATAGGCACAATTAGAATGTGCGTGTTCAGCAATTGTTGGATCCTAGAATGAAAGCTCTAGATCCATCTAGAACAAAACTAGTCCAGATCCGGTTCCTTTCAAGAATGGTACGTGAAAAAAGAATCTCTTTACTTCAGATGAAACGGGGGTCAGCAGCTTCAAACAATGAAGGAAACTGGAGAATTCCATCAGTAGGCTCTCTTCAAATTAATACCACGCCGCTGGTTGGGGTTAGCAGATCGGAGAGAAGTGAAGTGTAGCTAGCAAGTGTGCTAAGATTTGAATGGACCTCAGAGAAGATTCTGGAAAGCACTTGTGAGAGGTTGGAGAGATTTGGAAAATCCCCATTAACCTATTTACCTGAGGTTGTCTTAGAGCAGGCACACACCTTTCAAAAATTCTGCTTGAGAAGATGCATCACGCCATGGGGGACATTTCTACCATGACACTGAATATTTTGTCTCTGAAGGTCTGCGCTGAGCGTTATCAGCCTTAGATCTACCGTGATGCACTTTCTGGCACTGATGGGCCTTCTTTTCAAGATGACTTGCTCATGTACCCACCATTCCTTGCAAGTCCTTGGAGAAGACGTAAGCTATTGACAAATACATGTGTGGGCTCTGATGACAGGTTTGTGCCATATTGACATTATGCCTCGCTCTTTGTGTTTCAGTGCTGAGGCAGGGACCTCAGTTTTCTCTGTGGTGGCTTGTGCATCAACACACACCCACCGTGCCAGTTTAGTCTCACATGAGAGGAGCAAAAGTGCACCCCTGAAGCTTTCAGGCTGCTCTTTGTAGCATCCGGATTTTGGTCTAAGTCCTCTTGGTAAGACCGCGTTGTTCAGGAGCTCATGTTTGAGGCCTAGGTTGAGATGCTGTTTGACATTGTTCCTGCTCCTTACCACATTGGTGGCATCAAATGTTCTTATTGATTTTTTTTCCTGATTGGTCCAACCTGGAACAGGATCAGCTTCATAACTGGGACATCTTGTGGTCTGAAATACGAGATCTGTTTTAACAAACCACTCTTAAACCATCGTTTCTCCCGTGGAACCCAAGATCAGCAATTGCTGAGTTTCTTCTTGGCTTTCCCTCCGGTGACCCTTCTCACTCCTCCTGGTGCCCCCTTTCCCTCCTGCACTTTCTCCCACTGCTTACAAACAAAAACCCGCAAACAATACTCACTGAACTCTGAAATCCTTCCCTGGGCC